AAAGAATTTGGTCTGATCTAAATTTATCTCTACGGGCGAATGAGGAGTGAGTACATAATTTCTCCTCAAGTCTACATAATCCACAAGCGGAGTGGTAAACTTCAATTTTTCATTGTGTTACGATGTTTATTTTTATGTATTGACTTTGTATTAACACTCATATATTCTATAGGGGTATCGACCAGATATGAATTTTACAAGTTATGAACCAAAGGACAGTTGGAATATGCATAGTTTTGGTGTGTTGGATCATGGTGGTCCATCCGATAGTCATCACCAATAGGATAATGTGCATCATGGGATACCAACACATTATGATTTGTAAGTGAAGTGATAAAGTTTATATGTAAATTTTGGATGAATGTGAGAAACTCATTATTTTATTGGTCGTGCAGTGAAAGCAAGCAACTTGAAGGTCATGTCCTTACTCAATTTCCCGAAGACGACATATTTAATCGGGATCTGGCAGATGCGCAGAGTGAGGAAGATGATAGTGATTATGACAACAATGTTAACGATTCTGGAGATGACACACCCTTCCTTGATGAGGGTGACGGTGAGGGCGAGAATGATGAACCTGATTTGACGAAGGATAATGCTCCACCTCCCGTTAGACCAAGAGTGTACGAGTCCCATGTGTCATTTCATTCAAGGGATGTTTCCTGCCTTGATTAGTTGCCAAGTATGCCGGATTTCCATGCCCTCACAAGGGATCTTGAAAAAATTCGGACAGCAATGTCGGATGAATCTAGAGCAACGGTGTTGTCAAAGGGCATGCTTTTTGCTGATAAAGCGCACCTAAGCAGAGCGGTGCGAATGTACAGCGTAAAAGAGTGTCGTGAGATCGTGGTTCATGAGTCATCTCCAGAAGTATACAAGGTTATTTGTCGTAGATAGTTTCAAGGTTGTAATTGGATGCTGCGTGCGAGAAAGTTGAAAACAAATGTGTGGATTGTGGATAAATACATAGGCACCCACAATTGTGAAATGGACACATTCAGTGGGAATCATTTTAACTTGAATGTTGACTTGATTTCTCTTGTCTTGATTCCACACATTGAAGCGTCCATAAGGTACAAGATCAAAGAGTGTATAACATCTGTCCACCGGGTATATGGATGTACCATTACCAAAAGAAAGGCATTTCTCGAGTGTAATCGTGTGTTTGAAATTATTTATAGTAACTGGGATAAGTCATTTGCCGCTCTACCCAAGTACATGGCTGCATTGCAACACTTTAACCCCTGGACTGTTGTTGAATAGAAGCTTGAGCAGAGTCCGGGAATACCAAAATACATATTCAGATATGTGTTATGGTCATTTAAACCAGCCATTGATGGTTTTGTGCATTGTCACCAGGTAATATCCATAGACGACACTCATGTCTATGGAAAGTATGATATTAAGTTGTTGATCGTCGTTGTTGTAGATGTTAATGGAAGTATATTTCCCCTAGCATTTGCTATTTGTGCCAATGAAAGCCAACTGACGTGGACATTGTTTTTGAACCACTTGAAGGAGCACGTTGTCAAACAGCATTAAGATATTTGTCTAATATTTTATCGGCATAGCAGAATTTTAAGTTCTATACAGAATTTGTGTGCATGGCAGGAACCGTATGCCTACCACCGTTACTATGTTAGGCACTTAAAGGCCAACTTCCAGAGGTCTTATCCGAACAAAGACTTACATAATTTAATGTGGATGGCTGTAACAAATCACCAAGAGTGTAAATTCAGGATGCGAATGGAATTGATTAGGCAGGAAGACTCAGAAGCCTATCGTTGGTTGATGCGACATGAGCTTGACAAGTGGACTTTGCATGCGTATGGTGGTAGAAGATGGGAATTCTGACTACAAATATGTTAGAGTCTTTCAATGGGTTATTGAAGTCTGCGCGTGGATTGCCAGCCACTTCCATGGTGCGGATGTCATTCAAGCAGATGGCAGAGAGGTTTGTTGAAAAATCTAGAGGTGCATCGTCATTGATGGAAATAGGTGTTGAATTTATGCCACAACCAATGAAATGATTTGAGAAATATAGGAAGCGAGCACAGTGGTATTCATTTTTGCAGTATTGCAGCGAGCGAAATATTTTTGAAGTTCGTACTGGTCTGCATCACAACTGTGGGAATAATACACACACCGTCAATGAAGCCAGAAGATTATGTTTATATGGAAAATGGTCAATCCATCACTAGTCATGCTCATATGCCATGAAATGCTTTCAACATACAGGTTTTGCGGCAACGAGATACGTTGATAAAGAATATAGTATTACTGCATACTTAAATACCTCTAGTGGACGGTTGCAACCAGTGGGTACTGAGCATAATTGATTGCCGGGACCATTTAAAATGTTGTGTAACAAGGATTATGTGCGTCAACGGCAAGTGCAAAAACGAACGCGTATAGGGAACCAAATTGATATTGATGATACCGTTTATGCGCGTAAATGTGCCGTCGTAAATGTCCTTCATCTAGTTTGGGAAGCGGTGGTAATTCAGCAGCAGGTGGTTGTTCATCCAATGTGGCCAATTATCAAGGATAAACGTAGTGTTTTATTGGAGTAATTTTGTTATACTAAATTTATGTAAATCTTCAGGTTGCAAAATGTATGAAATAAAATTATATTTCTAATGGGGTTAAATCTAATTGTTTTTTAGAATTAAAGATTCAATACAATAGTTTAACATACAGCCCAAGGAATAAAAAAAAATTTATTCGCCACTATTGTCTTTGTCTGGCACTATTGCATTGTCACCGTCTTCATATTCTTCGTCAACATCTTGTACGCATCCTTCGGGACCAAGGGCGTCGTAATCTAGGCCCCAGTTGACACACATTTCTCGTATTTCATCGCTATCATCAATAAGACCACTTGTTTGATTTCTACAACAATATGGGACTCATACATCTAACGTTTGTGGTAGAAACTTAGGTAGTCCCTCCCACTCGACAATTGTTGGGAAAACAAGATACTCATTATCTCTATGCAAGTTTTCATTTTCTAATACATCCCAGTACTGATCCTCCGTTCCTTCCAGGTAGTTAAGATCATCGATAGCATGATGAACATCAAGTGCCTTTTCCATCTCTGGAATCTCCTTCATCAAGTGCCGAATCATTTCTGGTTCAACTTTGTGTGTGTTTGTTTGGAAGGATGCAGACAGTGCTTGTGGTACAATAAGCCCATGCCAGTGACATAGTACTTCATAATCACACAGTTTTGAGTAAAGGGGAACCCATTGTAGTTATTCGTCCAAAATTTGCATACCTTCAGGCTTTGTAGAATGCGTTTCGCTCTCAATAAAGTGCCCTGCAACTTTTAGATCTGTGTGTATATTGATAGGCTTATTTTCCAAGGGACGCAGAATACCATACCACTTGTCATCAACCAAATCAGTATAGCAACCTAGCATATTTCTTTCAAGGTAAGGATTGGTAGTGTTTTGATGCGTTCCATTTGGATCTTTTGAACTACCTTCACCTTTTTACCTCTTCATAAACCAATTATTAAATGTTAGTGGCATTTCTGAATTGGATGTTGTTCTGGTTCTTCAAATGGTATTTGAGTATTGATCTCTTGGTTCAACTTAAGAAGAACTAATCTGCATGTCGACCTGTATGAACGGGAAACATAGCCAATATGCGCTATGCGTTTTGTCATGTCGAGCTGAAAAGGTTGTCGGCCTAAAAAAGTTGTTTGACATGAAATACTGGACCCACTTGTACCTGAAGGAATCATTATCACACGAAACATAGAGTCTCACCAATATGCGCTATGTGTCTTGTCATGTCGACCTGAAAAAGTTGTCAGCCTAAAAAAGTTGTTGATCTGAAAAGCTATCGTACTGAAAAAGTTGGACCCACTTGTACCCAAAGGAATCATTATCACGTGAAACATAGCGCATCACCAATATGCGCTATGTGTCTTGTCATGTCTACCTGAGAAAGTTGTCGGCCTGAAAAAGTTGCTAACCTTAAAAGTCGTCGTACAAAAAAGCTAGACCCACTTGTACCCTAAAGAATCATTACCACGCGAAACATAGCATCTCACCAATATGCGCTATGTGTATTGTCATGTCGACCTGAAAAAGCTGTCGTACTGAAAAAAATTGGTGACCTGAAAAGTTGTCGTATTAAAAATCTAGACCCACTTGTACCCGAAAGAATCATTATCACGCAAAACATAGCGGCGCACCAATATGTGTTATGTAACCTAAAATCACTCTTAGCTGCCTATAAAAACCTCGTGCATTGTAGTTATTATTTGCGTCGTAACGAAACGAAAACAAAAATTTTCCAATAATTTTCTAATTTCGAGCATTACAACATGTTTGGACACAATTACGTACTAAGGTGTTACTATAGCAAACGTGCAATTTTGAAGCCATGTTGGTCAAATTGCAATCTGGAGCGCAGACGTTGGATGTGTAAACAAGTTGTAGGTTATTATTATTCTTGGAAGAAATGTTTGTTAATACTTTTTATATAACATGTTAATTAATAGTCTTGTGTTATTTTCTCATTGGTAGGACGAAAAGAAATATGGTTTTGATGAATGGTATGATGAACCCATTAATCAAGAATACTACAAATCATGTTTGCTAAACATTTGGAATCTGACTGGTGAATACGAACTCAAGATCGTGAAGCTACAAGAACAACTTGTGGCATTGCAGGAGAAACTAAAAGAGGCAAAAGAAGAAAAAATAGGTTGGAGGAAAAATTAAGTGGTTGAAGCACATAATAATGGGCGATAGTTACTAAACAAACAAATTGATGCCTTGAGTGTAGTATTTTATTTTTATGTTGTGCGTGTCATGTATTATCTTTAATTGGTAACGAATTTAAATTTTATGTTAATCTGTCATTTATTTTTGTGTTGTACTGTTAAACTAATAAATATCTCAAGAAAAATAAAAACACATGCGCAAATTATGTAAGACATAAATAATGTTGCTATTATATATTTAATGTCATATACACAAATAATAATAAATGTCAATGTGTCCCACATCCTGTATGCTTTAAAGCATTGGCTGGACTGAGGTGCATCCCATCCCGCCCGGATACGCTATCAGGATCATCCTTATCACGTTTCCTCTTTATCGGAGGATGCGCTGCAGCATGATCATCGGTAAGGTATGCAGACTCGGTAGAAGCGGTCGTCGGGCCGGTAGTAACCTATAGAATAATAAGATATTTTACTATTTGAAATAATAATTACTAACGTACGTGTTAGGGAAAAAATATTTAATGGTCATACCATGGTTCAGCGGGCTCCTGAATTAGATCATCCGTCTCTGGCATCTTAGTATCGCACAATGCGGCCTCCGCGACGGGCGATGTCGATGTCTTTAAAAAACATAAAAATGCTTTACATATTATTGACTAATCAATGAGATAGAAACAAATAGAAATAATAGTAATACAAACAAACTTGCGCCTGAGTAGCACCGCAACGCTCTGTCGGAACATCAAGGTATAGTAGAGTAGATGGAGTATGTGCTAGATTCTCAGCATTCCTCGATGAAGAGTCATAACTCAGTCGTCGCCCACTATGCACATCTCATGTCGGACGATCATCGGCAACCGTCGATGGCTTTGGGAGATCAGGAAAATACTGATCCCACTCTTGTCGCATAATGGACGTGCACGCGATCAACAATGAAGCTGACGAGGTCAACTGCGAAGTCCATGGCGATAGCTGAAGGATAAATGACGGCACATCCTAAGGAGCATCGTGTGGCTCAGGGGTTGTCACCGGGCTGATCATCTCTAATATCCTCCACGAGTGCCTCCACGCCCCTTTGCTGGGGACCCCGTCCTCGCCGACCACCACGACCTCGTGGGACACTCATTCCTCTCTGGCCACGCCTTCCACGTCTACCACGTTCAGGCTCCACTGGTGGCCCATGATGGTACTCCTCTGGCGGCACATAAGCAGCCTTGTATCCTAATCGCTCATCATCTCGGGCATGCCTCAATGTTTGGGCAGCCAGATCTGTAACCTACCGGCCATACTCGTGCAAAGTTGTCGCTCCCTCACCGGTATGCTACAGCATCTGCAGTCCCAACTAGTAGAACTGATGTAAGCCAATAGCCTGCATAACATGTCAAATATTAATTACGGAAGGATAATTTAACGTTATAAGTAAGTATAAGAAATAACATACCAGTGCCTCATGCCTCCCGGCATATGGAATGTACCGACCACCAGCGCGATGAACGGGATTCCCGACGAGAAGTCGGGTAACACTGCGATACCAGCCCATTTACTCATGCTCTCCATACGTACGCTTAGGTAGAGGGGGTGGCAGAATCAGGTCATACCTCTGGTCCCAAATCTCAATCTGGGCATATAGTCAGTCCAAGTGTGTTTGGTCAACTCTAGAACAATCATCCCGCCGGTAATGTGTCCTAAGCCAAGCGGGCGGAATAGGTACAAGCTGCGGTCAACCAAACTGGCAAAGTACTTGCTCGGTGGCATGATGCTCAACAATATTGAGACATATTAGTGGGACAGAAGAGCTCCACATAGCTCGGTCGCCGGAGCAATAATCAGGCAAGCCAGCTATGAGTGCGTCGTAGTATAGCCTCCATAAGAACTATTAATCAAACACAGGAATCGTGAGTAAACACAACACATATAAATCCAGGCCAAGTAAACTTAAGAGGAGAAATAGTGGAGGTGGTGCATCCGGAGCGATAGGTGGTAGAGGTGGCTGGAACTGCAGGAGCCGCTCCCAGGCCCAAACCTAATATAGATTGTGGATGTAAAATTTAAGGTATTTTTTTTACTATGTATGTTATAATCATGAAAAGAATTGACTATGTTTTCACTTGCAGCAGCGGTAAAAATCCAGCAACGTCTCTCTAAGTGCTCGTGCACGCCCGACACATCTGCCTATACAGGTAACCTAGAACAACTACACCACCCCAACTATAACCAGATAAACCATCTAGCCTCTCAAGATGATGTAGAAATCTTAAGCTGACTAGGTTTCCCGAAGTGTTCAGGAACAGCGCACCACCAAACATGAGCAACAACAATAATCTCGTGTGTCGGTCAATAACCTCCAATGGTGAATCATCCATAATCTCCGCATCCATCTGTCACACCTCCTTTTTCCCGAGGTGGGAAAGGGAGTTTTTCCAATTAAAGTGACAATATTCGAAATGGGATTATTTATTTATTTCAGAGTCGCCACTTGGAATAATTTATGGTGTCCCAAGTCACCGGTTTATTTTAAATCCCAAATCGAGGAAATTTGACTCTATTTATGGTCCGCGAACACAGAAGACCGGGTAAGGAATTCTGTTAACCCGGGAGAAGGTGTAAGGCACTCCCGAGTTCCGTGGTATTAGCACGGTCGCTTAACAATCAATACTTGGCCTAATTATCTGATTTATTACATATTTAAAATCTATTGTGCGTTTTAGCTTTTTAACCGCTTTTAATTATTTATAAAATTATTTCTGGAACAAGTCACGATGTCGTACACTTGTCGTTTTGACACATACCGCAAATCGCGCCACATGAAATGCACCCGCGATTTACAACATGCTCATTTTTATTATTGTTTGAAGTTGTGGTCGAGTCACGTGAAACGCACACTCGAATTGGTGTTGCGTATCATAACTATGCCACGGGAACCGTACCCATAGTCACGACAATTTATTTGATCGTGCCTAAAGCAAACTACGATGTTCATCAATTGCTATTTCTAAGCTACTTTGAGATTATCGCAAGGTCATGAGATATGGATAATATTATGGAGGAAATGAAGTAAATTAATTATAAAAAAGATAGGCTAGCTTATGAATTTTATTATTATGGGCCTATTAGAATCTTGTCATTTGGCCCAAGTCTGATTTGTCTATCTGCTACACATACAAACACAATTAATTTTTCCTTTTTAAAAAAAACGAGAACAAAATAAAAATAAATAAATAAAACACAAACACAATAATGAAAAGGACTAAAAGCTTATTTAAAAGGAATACAACAGATCTACACAAACAAACGAGCAATCCAAAGAACAATATATTGATGGTGGCGTAAACAATAATGCCACGAATTGCTGCATAAACCAACAACACAGAAAATAAAATGAACAGAAATAATAGTAAAGAGGGGAAAAATGAACCTTTTCGAAAATTTTCATTTGAACTTTTATTTGAGAATAAACCTCTGAATACAACCTCAAAGCAATAATTGGCAGCAAACTAGAACCGAGTTTGATGAGTGAACCTCAACGGCGACCTCGACCTCTGATTTCGAATTTCAATTGGGTCGAAAGAGACAGAAGCGGGCTGTTTTGGAGCGATTTATGGAGCCTCAAGCGGCGTCCATGGTGGTGGACGGAGCTGCTCGTGTGTCGACTTTCATGGTTGTGTTTTAGGTAGAAAATGAAGCTATTTTCGGACTGCTTTTTGATGTATTTTTGGAGTGAATTTACAGCTGGGTTTGGGATGGATTTTGGTGGTGAAATTGGCTGATTTTTGGGTTCTTACATGGTTGTTGAGGGGTCAGGTTTGGGGTAGATTTTTAGGCGGTATTTGTTGGTATTTACCACTCGTTGAAGTGAGATTATCGGGGCTGGTCTTCAATGGTCGAAACAGGGGTTCTTCAGTTGAGAACATGAAGAAGAATCAAATTCGAAAATGGGAGTGGGGAGGCGCTGCTCTCTTCTGAAGGGGGGCCTTGCTAGGGTGTAGGAAATTAGGTTTTATTTTTATTATAAAAGAGTTGTGGGTTAGGGAATGGGTAAATGGGCTAAGGGGAGGAGTGAGCTCAGATCCGAAAATGGGCTTCACCAATAAATTATTTTGGCCCAAATTCAATTCTTTTTCGTTGAACAAAAATAAAAATACTATCAAAATAAATTAATTAATCTTAGTTAATAAGAATAAACTATTTTTGTGTTTTTAAACTTATGTTTTAAAATAAAAATTAAAAGTTGATGGAAAATCCTATAAAAATAAAAATAAGTAAATATTTTTGAAATACTACTTTTAAAAGTTGCGCGGGTCAAAAATTACGTGCTTACAGCTGCCCCTCTTTGCTTGGAAACACAAAGTATTTTTGAGCAAAGAATTAAGCAACGTAATTGACTTCTGACCCGTCAATTATTCAAAAGAAAATAAAGACGGATAAAAGATTGTGACCGAGCCCTGGTATTTGAGCTGCCTACATATCCTTGGCTTTAAAGGAATCAGGTCATGTGTAGTTCAGAGGTGAATGAAGTGATGGAATGTGTGGAGAGGATGACAGAGTCGAGTGAGATACTGTTCCGTCGAGGTTCCGGTCCGCGGTCCTGTTATTACATCAAAATCAAAAAAAATAAAAAAGACTAACTAAGCCTGTCAGCTATGAGTTACAAGATTCCTATCTATAAGTCTTCTGAAGCTTGATCTTGAGGCTTGAACGGTTCTTCATACAGACTTTTGATTTAAACCTTGCTGCTTGCTAACTGCAGGTGCTGATTCATTCTTCTACAGCTTCTTTGGATCAAGAACGGACATGCAGTGCTCGTGTATTCAGCCATGTCTTGAGCAGTTCATGTCTTTCATCGGCTTATGCATTTTGGATTCACTTCTCTTTTTT